TCCACAGAACTAGCTAGGAATAAAGATAGAAGAGCTTTCCAGATCCAGCTAGAGATAGAAATAGAAGAGCTTTTCAGGACCAGCTAGAGATAGAAATAGAAGAGCCTTCCATAGCTAGCTAGAGTTAGCAGAATCAAACAACGAGATGTTGTTAGGTTATCAGGTTGTATGTCAGGTTGTTATTAGGTTGTCAGTCTAGGTTGTGAGCCGTTTATTAGAGTCCCCTCACTGGTGAAGGTGAACCCCGAGGGCAGTGCCACGAGGGGGGTCCTTAGGTAGGACTGCTTTAAGCCAGTGAGAAGGGTTTTATTTCTCTTTACATACAGACTTATCCGGTAGCGGAAACGCTGTTGACCATAACGACGAGTCAGAGACAGCCCGCACTAGGTTAGTAAAACCGGTTATAGGTAGGATTAGGCTCTCTTAGGAAATGAAATCAAAGGAAAAAAAGAAGAAAAACACCAACTCTCCTATGGTGAGGCCAGAAGAGAGAAGGATGTCTGAAACATCATCCAATGCAACTATGGAAAAGAAATTGACTAAAAGTGAACCAACTAACTCTGATACCCTACAAGATGTAGAAATAGACATAACAACAGAAATTAAAAATGCTGCCTTGTCAAAGGACAAGCGTAAGAAGTCGATTAGTTCCAACTCTACCTCAGAGGAGGAAGAAATTGCATCAGTATCTAATACAAAAGACTCCGCTCCCTCAAAGAAAGCGAAAGTAAATGCAGAAAACTCGGAAACACAGATGAACGTGTTCTCTGAAGAACTTGAACCCATGGACCATCATGATTTGGCACCAAATATGCCACCTGAAACAGACAACTCTCCTGACTTTGAAAACTTTAAACAAATGAAATTTGTTCTTAAACCAAATACAGATTTTCCCACTGCATACAGTGCACTGGTAGCCCTGGAACAAGAAAAGAAAGACCTTGCAGTTGCCACCAAGGTAACACAAAGGAGTACCTTCCTACTCACACCAAAAACAGTCGACACTGCAAAATTCCTCTTTTCAGTAAAACTCCTCTCCACCAACAAGTTAGTTGATTTGGAGAGACTCATTCCGGAAGAGGAAATCAAGAAAACAATTCTGGTAGGATTTCCTATGGAATTTCCGGTGGATATTCTGCTAGATATCCCTAATATCACCTCGGCAAAGAGACTTGTATCACGATTAACAAATTGGAAACAAGACAGATTTTACTCTCTGTCAAGGGAGAAATTCCAAAAACCTTTGAAATCAGAAATCTAGGTTTATACCTGAGCCTCTCAGATGTTTTAAATGCCAAAGATTCGGACACCACAAAGAACAGTGTAGAGCTCCTGCTAGGTGCCATCTGCTCCAAACTACATGATACTAGCCAATGTTTAGAAAAGTATAAAAAAGGAGAAAATGTTCAGGCAAAATGCCCAAACTGCCAGAGCCATCACCATGCCTGGTCCCTCAAATGCCCTGAAAGGCATATTAGACTACAAAAGCCAAATAAACCTGACTTTGTCCCAAGTTCAATTCCACCAAAATCCCAATCAATTTACAATGGGAATCCTGATCAGAACCGGACACCAGTTGCCTCGAAGAATTTTACAAAGAAAATTACAAACTCAAATAGACTATACTCAAAAGTAGTCACAAATTCTTCGACAGAGACAATACACCCCATCCAAGAAAGACCTTCAGATTCACAGAGTACTCCTTCCGTTGCACCTCCCTCAGAAACCTACTCAAAGAATATTGATACTCTTACTTCCTCATTAGAACGAATAATGGAACAAGCCAACCAAATGATTAATCGTTTGGTCCAATTGATCAGCAATTTTAATTCGATAATGACAAATCTACCAAACATTATCAAGACCCAAGTACCCTCCTTAGATTTAAATCCTTCCTCACCAGAAGCATCATTCTCTCTCTCAGAGGTTGATGTAGTAGAATTCACAGAGGAACCTCTGGAACAGCTAAAAAGAAAACATCCTAATCTAGAAATATTTGCACACAGTAGTCAAAATGAAAGCTTAGCAGAAACTTCTCCTCCAAGAATAGAAATTCCTTCTCCTACAAACAACAGAACTAAGAACAATAACAAAAACGACTATGGATACTAAGAACAAACCAATTAAAATATTGCAATGGAACATAGGTGGATTAAGGAATCACCTACCTTTTCTTAAGGACTCCCTTTACAGGGATCAGATTGACATTGCAATTCTACAAGAAACCATTTACGAAGGAATTAATATAAAATTCCCAGGATATCAAATCTATACAACTTCCTATTCTAGGAGAGGTCCCAGAGGGCTGATGACACTGGTTAAAAACTCCATACCTAGCCATATAACTAAACAACCAGCAACCCTAGGCCACAATATAGAATCTTTAGCTATATCAATTCATTTACAGGAAGAAATCATAGATATTTACAATTGCTACCGTCCCCCTAGAAAACAATTGTATTCTGGAATTAGATGAACTTTTCAGTATAGCAGAAAATAGTCCCATCCTCCTTGGAGGAGATTTTAATGCTCACCATCCTCTTTTCAATGACCCAACATCCTATCGACCACTTCTGAAAGATCCTCCAGGAATACATATAGAACATCATCTCTCCAATAGCCTCCATATACAAATTCTAAATAAGACTAAGGCTACCCACATAAGAGGAGGAGTCCTAGATTTAACCTTCACTAATGATTATCTAGCTTCTAATGCAAACTCCTCCTTTCACGAGCACCTAAACAGCGACCATTCAGCCTTAATCATTACTATAGAAATACCTAGGATGAACTCCCCACCTTACCAACCAAAATGGAATACGCACAAAGCAAACTGGGGTAGATTCCAAAAACTCATTGAAATATGGGCTTCTTCCTATCAAATTGGTGACAAAACTCTTGATAAACTAGAAGAAGACTTCAAAACAGCAATCACAGAAGCTGCCAACTCCGCGATACCATTATGTAAACCCTTTTCCAAAGAGCACCAGGATCACTGGTATTACAGTAACAGAGTCGCTGAACTACATCACAGAGTGAATATAACTAAGAAAAACTTATCAAAGTTCCCCTCCAAGGGTAATCTCGACTTGTATCGAGACACCTTAAGACACGTAAAAAGAGAGCTATGGGATATACGAACTGAAAAATGGCTTGCCTGGTGCGAAACTTTAAATTCCCACACAAAGATTAAAGATATTTGGAGCCATCTCCGCAAAGCCACTGGCTGCTATAGAACTAATCGAATCCCGGCACATCCTGATCCTCAAGGTGAAGCCAACAAACTAATAAATCAGTTTGCTACCAGATCGTCTTCCAGTAACTTAGACCAAAATACTGTGGAAGCCTTGGCAATAAACAGACCACTACAACTGCACATAATAGAAAACGCAATCGAAGATTCAGATGATACTGACCATCCTATTACCATGGCAGAAATCAATAAAGCCATTAATATACACAAAATCTCAGCTCCAGGGGATGATAAAATATCATATGGCATGATGAAGCACTTAGGACCCAAAGGAATGGATTTCTTACTTCATCTATACAATAAATCTTATAAAGAAAGAAAAGTACCGTCTGCCTGGAAAAGTGCCATAATAAAACCCATACCAAAAAACAACGATCCCAAGTCTTTCAGACCAATTTCACTACTTAGCTGCTTGGGTAAAACCCTTGAAAGAATCATTCTAAAAAGAATGCTGTATAAACTCCCAGATCTTCACCATAACCTTTTTGCCTTCAAAAGAATACTGGTACCTCAGACAATATTGCTACTTTAAGATCAATGCTGGATCAAGGCAAGGCCACTTTAGTTTTCCTTGACCTGGAAAAAGCCTTTGAGCTTGCGGACCCTATAATAATTTCAACAATTCTAGCGGAAAAAGGAGTGAAAGGACATCTTCTGGCCTGGATTACAGACTATTTTACACAAAGAAAAGCTACAGTGATATTCCAAGGACACCTATCAAATACCCTTATTTTTGAAAAAGGTACACCTCAGGGAGGCATCCTCAGTCCAACTTTATTTAATCTACTGATTGAAAAACTTGTCAACCTTCCTTTCCGAAACAACACCACCTTACTGAGCTATGCAGATGACCTGCAATTGATAACCACAGGTCCACATCAACTACTACACGCTCAACACGCTTTAGATCTAATAACCCAAGCCTGTACTTCCCTTGGACTAAAAATTAACCCGTCCAAATCGTCAGGATTAAACATCGGTCCATCTAGACCCTTTCATCTACTTACAATCCAAGGCCAAAACATTGACTGGGTAGAGAAAGCTAAATGCCTAGGACACTTTTTCTCAGAAAGAAATCATGAAAAAGATCAGTTGGACTACCTCAAGCAAAGAATACAATCCAGAATTCTAGCAATGAGAAAATTAACATCCACCAGAATAGGAGCAGGATACAAAATTCTACGCACTTCTATACTCAAGCCATCAGATCAATAATAGATTTCTCCGCTCTCTCACTTTTAACCCTGTCATCTGATCTCCTAATAAAACTTGAAAAAATACAAACGAAGCTATGAGGATAATTCTAGGTGCTCCTCGCTGGACAAGGCTTGAAAACCTTAGAATTGAGACTAATCTTTGTTCCCTCAGACTCCGAACACTTCAAATCACCTCATCCTACATGGCCAAAGTCTCTCCTCCACCAAGCCTCTCCCTTCAAACAAAGGATCCAAACCTTATTAACCAGACCGATTGACACAATTCTCAGTACAGGGTGGCATTTTCAAGTGGTCTTAGCAATTAAGGCGTCTGGTATAAGCCATCAACTAGTACACAGGACTCCAACACAAAGACATCCACTTTTCAAAGCAGAGCCTCCATGGAATCCATTAATCCTGCGAACAAATATACTGAGACTTCCTAAGAAGAAAGTTAACTGCAGCCAGGAAATATTAAACAAGATTGCAATCCAAGTTAACAGTAAAGCAGCGAAAGACCAATTAGCTATTTTTACAGATGGTTCTGTTAATCAGATATCAGGTCACTCTGGAGCATCAATTCACTGCACTTTTCAAACATCTAGTTGGAGACTTTCGGATTATTGTTCAACTCTCCAGACTGAACTATTTGCAATAGACAAAGCTCTCACCCTAGCAATCTCCACCAATCACAAAGAGATAAATATTTATACGGACTCTCTCTCAGCAATTCAAGCCCTCTACAAGTCTCCTGATGAAAATATAATGCTCATGACCACTCTCCTCTATAAGATCCAAGTTCTTCATAAGAAAGGATCACAAGTAATTTTAAATTGGATACCTAGTCACATTGGAATAATAGGGAATGAAATTGCAGACAGAGCGGCCTCGGAAGCGACACTATTCCAATATATCAACTTTCACATCCCACCCAGCTCCAGCCAAATTAAGAAGACAATAAGACAAAATTTTCAGCGAGAAATCATCAATCAACATTTAGCATGCGTCAATAAAGGGTCTTATTCTGCATCATGGTATAAGACAGTGACTAACTATCAACGCGTGAACATCACCAACACCATGCCTCGTGAACAAGTTGTCATAATTCACCGCCTTCGTTTAGGATACAAATGTAACTGGGAGATTGCAGAGAGAGTTCTCAGAGAATGCACCTACTGTCAACAAGAGACCACCGAACCTCTATTACACTACCTTCTAAGCTGCAAAATAATTGAACACATTCGACCAGCTGAGTTCCAACTTACACAACTAGATGACATCGCCCTTGCAACCTCATCAGCACAAGAGTTCGCCAAAAGACTCTTAGAGAATACACCTCAAGACTTATTCATCTTTCCACCACCAAGATGAATTTATAAACCAATCTTTGTTTATTTACATATGACAGTCAAGGTTTGTTTTAACACTTTAAATCAATAAATCAAATCTTTGTTTATTTACAAATGACAATGAAGAAATTTTGTAACACTTTAAATCAATAAATCAAATTTTTGTATATTTACAAATGAAAATCAAGGTTTTTTGTAACACTTTAAATCAGTAAATCAAATCTTTGTATATTTACAAATGAAAATCAAGGTTTTTGTAACACTGTAAATCAATAATCAAATCTTTGTATATTTACTAATGAAAATCAAGGTTTTTGTAACTCTGTAAATCAATAATCAAATCTTTGTATATTTACTAATGAAATCAAGGTTTTTGTAGCTTTTTAAAAATAAATCACTTATGGGTAGCCTAGGGCTTAACCCGTGTCAGAGTAAATGCCTGACAAATCAAAAAAAAAAAAAAAAAAAAAAAAAAAAAAAAAAAAAAAAAAAAAAAAAAAAGTGCGGATCCTCTCTCTTCAAGGTTAGGTTCTTGCCAAGTAAGAAGAAGTAACTGTCTCCGAGGGTAACTACGCCTATCCAGCAGTGCTGGGTGTCTCCGTTTACCAAGGCAATAAAGTTGCAGGTTACGTTTATTACCCTGGCAAATACGCCGAGAAGCCGATGTTGGCGCTGCCGTTTACCTAACCGGAAGACTTTATTATCAACTCTACAGAACTAGCTAGGAATAAAGATAGAAGAGCTTTCCAGATCCAGCTAGAGATAGAAATAGAAGAGCTTTTCAGGACCAGCTAGAGATAGAAATAGAAGAGCCTTCCATAGCTAGCTAGAGTTAGCAGAATCAAACAACGAGATGTTGTTAGGTTATCAGGTTGTATGTCAGGTTGTTATTAGGTTGTCAGTCTAGGTTGTGAGCCGTTTATTAGAGTCCCCTCACTGGTGAAGGTGAACCCCGAGGGCAGTGCCACGAGGGGGGTCCTTAGGTAGGACTGCTTTAAGCCAGTGAGAAGGGTTTATTTCTCTTTACATACAGACTTATCCGGTAGCGGAAACGCTGTTGACCATAACGACGAGTCAGAGACAGCCCGCACTAGGTTAGTAAAACCGGTTATAGGTAGGATTAGGCTCTCTTAGAAAATGAAATCAAAGGGAAAAAAGAAGAAAAACACCAACTCTCCTATGGTGAGGCCAGAAGAGAGAAGGAATTCTGAAACATCATCCAATGCAACTATGGAAAAGAAATTGACTAAAAGTGAACCAACTAACTCTGATACCCTACAAGATGTAGAAATAGACATAACAACAGAAATTAAAAATGCTGTCTTGTCAAAGGACAAGCGTAAGAAGTCGATTAGCTTCAACTCTACCTCAGAGGAGGAAGAAATTGCATCAGTATCTAATACAAAAGACTCCGCTCCCTCAAAGAAAGCGAAAGTAAATGCAGAAAACTCAGAAACACAGATGAACGTGTTCTCTGAAGAACTTGAACCCATGGACCATCATGATTTGGCACCAAATATGCCACCTGAAACAGACAACTCTCCTGACTTTGACAATTTTAAACAAATGAAATTTGTTCTTAAACCAAATACAGATTTTCCCACTGCATACAGTGCACTGGTAGCCCTGGAAAAAGAAAAGAAAGACCTTGCAGTTGCCACCAAGGTAACACAAAGGAGTACCTTCTTATTAACACCAAAAACAGTCGACACTGCAAAATTCCTCTTTTCAGTAAAACTCCTCTCCACCAACAAGTTAGTTGATTTGGAGAGACTCATTCCGGAAGAGGAAATCAAGAAAACAATCCTGGTAGGATTTCCTATGGAATTTCCGGTGGATATTCTGCTAGATATCCCTAATATCACCTCGGCAAAGAGACTTGTATCACGATTAACAAAATTGGAAACAAGACAGATTTTACTCTCTGTCAAGGGAGAAATTCCAAATACCTTTGAAATCAGAAATCTAGGTTCATTTAAAACCAGAACCTACATACCTGAGCCTCTCAGATGTTTTAAATGCCAAAGATTCGGACACCACAAAGAACAATGTAGAGCTCCTGCTAGGTGTGCCATCTGCTCCAAACTACATGATACTAGCCAATGTTTAGAAAAGTATAAAAAAGGAGAAAATGTTCAGGCAAAATGCCCAAACTGCCAGAGCCATCACCATGCCTGGTCCCTCAAATGCCCTGAAAGGCATATTAGACTACAAAAGCCAAATAAACCTGACTTTGTCCCAAGTTCAATTCCACCAAAATCCCAATCAATTTACAATGGGAATCCTGATCAGAACCGGACACCAGTTGCCTCGAAGAATTTTACAAAGAAAATTACAAACTCAAATAGACTATACTCAAAAGTAGTCACAAATTCTTCGACAGAGACAATACACCCCATCCAAGAAAGACCTTCAGATTCACAGAGTACTCCTTCCGTTGCACCTCCCTCAGAACCTACTCAAAGAATATTGATACTCTTACTTCCTCATTAGAACGAATAATGGAACAAGCCAACCAAATGATTAATCGTTTGGTCCAACTGATCAGCAATTTTAATTCGATAATGACAAATCTACCAAACATTATCAAGACCCAAGTACCCTCCTTAGATTTAAATCCTTCCTCACCGGAAGCATCATTCTCTCTCTCAGAGGTTGATGTAGTAGAATTTACAGAGGAACCTCTGGAACAACTAAAAAGAAAACATCCTAATCTAGAAATATTTGCATACAGTAGTCAAAATGAAAGCTTAGCCGGAACTTCTCCTCCAAGAATAGAAATTCCTTCTCCTACAAACAACAGAACTAAGAACAATAACAAAAACGACTATGGATACTAAGAACAAACAAATTAAAATATTGCAATGGAACATAGGTGGATTAAGGAATCACCTACCTTTTTTTAAGGACTCCCTTTTCCTCCTTTCACGAGCACCTAAACAGCGACCATTCAGCCTTAATCATTACTATAGAAATACCTAGGATGAACTCCCCACCTTACCAACCAAAATGGAATACGCACAAAGCAAACTGGGGTAGATTCCAAAAACTCATTGAAATATGGGCTTCTTCCTATCAAATTGGTGACAAAACTTGATAAACTAGAAGAAGACTTCAAAACAGCAATCACAGAAGCTGCCAACTCCGCGATTCCATTATGTAAACCCTTTTCCAAAGAGCACCAGGATCACCGCCTTCGTTTAGGTTACAAATGTAACTGGGAGATTGCAGAGAGAGTTCTCAGAGAGTGCAGCTACTGTCAGCAAGAGACCACCGAACCTCTTACACTACCTTCTAAGCTGCAAAGTAATTGAACACCTTCGACCAGCTGAGTTCCAACTTACACAACTAGATGACATCGCCCTTGCAACCTCATCAGCACAAGAGTTCGCCAAAAGACTCTTAGAGAATACACCTCAGGACTTATTCATCTTTCCACCACCAAGATGAATTTATAAACCAATCTTTGTTTATTTACATATGACAGTCAAGGTTTGTTTTAACACTTTAAATCAATAAATCAAATCTTTGTTTATTTACAAATGACAATAAAGAAATTTTTGTAACACTTTAAATCAAGAAATAAAATCTTTGTTTATTTACAAATGAAAATCAAGGTTTTTTGTAACACTTTAAATCAATAAATCAAATCTTTACTAATGAAATCAAGGTTTTTGTAACACTGTAAATCAATAATCAAATCTTTGTATATTTACTAATGAAAATCAAGGTTTTTGTAACACTGTAAATCAATAATCAAATCTTTGTATATTTACTAATGAAAATCAAGGTTTTTGTAACACTGTAAATCAATAATCAAATCTTTGTATATTTACTAATGAAATCAAGGTTTTTGTAGCTTTTTAAAAATAAATCACTTATGGGTAGCCTAGGGCTTAACCCGTGTCAGAGTAAATGCCTGACAAATCAAAAAAAAAAAAAAAAAAAAAAAAAAAAAAAAAAAAAAAAAAAAAAAGGGCGGATCATCTTCTCGTTTACTCGCAGCAAGACAAGTCGCTACCATGACTGGACGTGGAAAGGGCGGAAAGGGTCTCGGAAAGGGGGGCGCCAAGCGTCATCGCAAGGTGTTGCGTGATAACATCCAGGGTATCACCAAGCCTGCCATCCGTCGTCTTGCCCGTCGTGGAGGTGTCAAGCGTATCTCTGGTCTCATCTACGAAGAAACCCGTGGTGTCCTCAAGGTATTCCTCGAGAACGTGATCCGTGACGCCGTCACATACACCGAGCACGCCAAGAGGAAGACCGTCACCGCCATGGACGTCGTCTACGCTCTCAAGCGCCAGGGACGCACCCTGTACGGTTTCGGAGGTTAAACGTTTTCAACAAGATCGAAAACGTCAACCACCAAACGACAACCATTACCACCAAAAACCTTGGACCTATCTTAGGTCCTAAAATTATTACAGAGATATCATCGTTGACTGACTGTTTGGCTCTTGCTTTTATTTTAAGTGTTTGATTTGGTTAGCTTTTGGGCTTGTCGTCGTTAGAGGGAGCATGTTTCTGGGCAAAAATCATTTTTACAAAAAGAATGACAGAGTTTACCATACATTCATACATGGATAGAATCAATGCAATTATAGGCCTATGGCAACTTGTTTGGGTATCAGAGAGTGAAATAGATCCATGTTGTAAGGGGTGACGTGTTGACGGTCTCACATAACACACCCAATTTATATCATAAACGTCGCGTTGTGTGTACTGTTAATTACTAATTAACTACAAGGATAGCTTGACTTACAATATTGAAGAATCAATAGTAGCGTCAATGTTGCACATGAAGTGAGCATCATATTGGGGATGCACATGTTTGTTTGCTTTAAATTACTAGTATGTTCGTTAGTTATATGTATATGCATGAACGAAGTCACAAAGCAAGCAACCAACAAATTATGAATAACTCAAGTAATGAGTAGGTCAGTCATAAACGTTTATGGAATATAAGTGAAAGAATATCAGAGCTTTGTCACATACACACATTCAAACCATTCATTCAGTCACACTCAATCAATCAATCAATCAATCACAATTAACAAACAATTCAAAGTCAATACACATCTCACACAAACCAAACCAAAGACAAAGACAAAACAAACAACTACTTGTATCAAGCATGAACAAGCAGAGCAGAGCAGACCACACCACACCACAGCATAATCATACACAAGGACCAAACAACAACAAACACAACAAAAATGTAGTCAGTCTGTCACTTACCAAATAACCAGCTATCAGTCTGTAGGATTGATTACACGACCGACACAAAGACAGACAAAGAAACAAACACAGTTACATGTAGGCACACACACACGAAAACAACAACAAAACAACATCCAAGGAACAGAAACATACACCAACACCAATAACAACAAACAGGGGGGGAGGGGAGGGGGGACCCAACAACCAAAACACAACAAACAACAACAAACGAAATTAAAAAGACAGAGTCAAATCAAAAAACAACACAAAACAAACAAATCAAATCCAATCCATTTCATTTCATGTTACTTTACTTTGCTCTTGCCTCGGGGAGACCTACACGGCCGAGCCTTGGACTGTGTCACACAGAAATGGACTCTATGCGTACTGATACACACAAATATAGGCCTTATTCGCTGTATAAACACTGAGACACACAAATATAGGCCTTATTCGCTGTATAAACAACAGCTAACTACCAAACTGGTATTCCGGTCTTTTTGGCAACGCTTTTTTTGACAGAAAATATCTCAAAGTATCACGAGTAATCATTGTTTTACAGTCCGTACAATACAAATATGTTGAAACAAACTGTAGGCAAAGGTAGACTAAACACGTGTCAATGAACAAGTCTCAAATACTAGCTTATCATACCAAATAACAATTTCTGCAATCGATATTCACACAAATAATCACATATTAAACATGTTGCATGAAGGAAAGGTCCTGCCTTATAATAGGTTGGATCGTTCATGAGGAAGATGCTCATATTCATTACATTTTAAGAATGTTTGTTTGGAAGTAAATATTGTTGAAAATATTATTGGTGTTGCATTTATGTTTGATTTTATTATTATTAAATGCCTGTTGTACATGTCTTTATCAATTATTACAACCGCAATTTGTTTATAAGTTAATTTTTTTCATGTATTGTATTTTTGGAATTTTATTTTAAATAACTATTGAACTCTGCATCAATATGTTGATACTCATTGATTTCATAACATTCAGATACTGATATGTAATGCTTATCACATTATTTTTGGGGTAAATACAAGGTGCCTTGGTGTCTCACCCACATATTTGGTATAACTAAAGGGATCATGATACAGTAGTGGACTATGAACTCTGTATCCAATATAAAATAGTATATATATCACTGGAATTATCATTGTTATCTTGTTATGTTATCCAGAAATCATTTATGCAATCTAACACATTCATATATATATTTAAAATTATGATATTGATGATAGGAAATATTACACAATTATGCATGAAATCAAATAATATATATATATATGATTAGATAAAATGTAATATGATATTGATTATAGGATTTATAGCACATGGGTATGCATACACAAGTAAAGACAGATAGATACACACACACACACACACACACACACACACACACACACACACACACACACACACACACACACACACATACATACATACATACATACATACATGTGTGCG